CAAGACTAGAGCTTTTAACCTGCTTGGTATCTCACACACTCGCTTGCTTTCCCCACACCATTACATTCACTAGGTCTCACTCACCTTCCCTTCCCAGCAGGGACACTGGGTGGTCTGTCAAGGTGGAAGTCATCAGTTCATGCTACGCAGCTCCTCACAGTTACCAGTCTCAAGCACTACTGGACATCCCCCAACATTCATCTCCACACATCTCCCTCATCTCCAGGACTTTCCCCACTTTCAGTGTTTTTCATCCAGACATGATCTTCTTTCTAGCCCTGAAGTGGTGTTTATTAAAAGTGAGAGCATCCTTCAAATAGCTGATTTATGTCCAGTGAATAAAATTGGAAGGATCGTAAACTCTGGCAGCTTAAATGTAAAAATAAAATAAGGCAGGCCAAAAAACAGAATGAGAAGCAGGCTGTAAACGGGGTAGAAGCTAATAAATCCTTTTTTAAACACTCCAGCAGTAGGACTGTCTGTCGAGCTATAGATTATCACTGCAAAAGACAGAGTAAGGGAATGGCAGAATAGAAGTGTGTTCTTTATGGACAAACTTGATAAGGTTGCCGAGTTTATTTATTAATGGGGGACTTGTAGAGGATCTGGCTGATTGGAGTGACTGTAGAAGAAGCTATGGGACACAAGAGCAAAACAAATCTTAATACTTCAGTACAAGTGAATGATGTTCACCCAAGAGCCCTGCCACGGCTCACAAATGAAGTAGCTGAAGTGTTGGCTAGAGTCATCAACCCCTCACTTGAAACAGTCTTAGGCCCTGGGGCCTAGAATGTTGACAGATATTTTCTAAAAAGGTTCTGGAGGAGACCCAAGGAACTAGCAGAGCCTGACTGACCCCACTATTAGAAACTGTAGTTAGAAAGAAAAATAATAAGGAAGAAAAAATAGAATATTCTAAGGAGGAGTCACCATGACTTTTGTAAAAAGCAGCCATACCTCACAAACCTCCCGAAGTTCTTTGGAGGCATTGGGCTTTATATGAATAAGGGACCTCGTATTCATAGAGTATATTCAGGCTCGTAAAAGGCTTCTGGTAGTCTGTCACCAAATTCAGTCCTCGCATGGATGAACAGTTGGTTGAAAGATAGCAGAGGATAAAAATAAGCGGTGGGTTCTGACTAATCACAAATGAGATCATCGAGCTTTAACAGGTCCTTGGATGGACTTCTCAGCTCTGGCTGAGTAGTAGTCAGAGAAGCAAATGCAATGTTAAGAATAGTCACACTGGAAAAGGGACAGAGAGTTAAAGAGAGTGCCCTGGGGCCATTTCATTAACCCTTGGTGCATCTCACTTGAATATTATATGCAGGTCTCAGAATTGATGAAGGAGACTGGGAAAGTTTGGAGAAAGGTCAGTGGAACAGCTTCTGTACAAGAAGCAGCGAGGTCAGATAGGGCTCATCAGCCTGGGAGAGAGGTGGCTGAAGAGAGATCTGACAAAGGTTTGTAAAATCCTGAGAGGTATGGGAAAGGTGACTTGCAAATGACAGGTCTTTGTCTTTTCCAACATAAGCATGAAGATAACAAAAGAGTTTAGTAGCTACTCTGTTCCAACAGGCAAGAAGAGGTGCTTTTCTTGTAAAATGGAGGTCTCCTTGCTGTAGGAGGCTGTGGATGTGAAAAGTTCACACAGTTGCATAACACAAATGTGCAATGTCATGGAAGAGAAATCCACTGCAGGTTATCAGGTACAAAGACCTTTGGGCCAGGAAGTCACTGAGCTGCAAAATGCGTGAGAATATTGTTGGAGAAGTATCACATCCCTTTCTACTCTTGTGTAGGCATTTGCTGTTGGCCACAGTCCGAAACAGGTCCTGGGGAGATGGCCTGCCAGTCTGACCTAATACAACTGTATTTACGTTATGGTTTTACAATCCTTCCGTAAAAGTGGAAACCACATGACCCAGAACATCTAGCCTGGATAAAGCACGGGATGCTACGTGGCTGGGAATAGCCTGCCTTACCAGGAATAATGGAAGGGTGAACTAGAGGGCAGCTTGCAAGTCCTTTCTGAGGTTTTCATTAAAAGGCATTTCAATTCAACATTTAACCTGTAACAGAGGGGGAAAAAAAAAAAGGAAACATTACAGAAAGAAGCATCTGAAGACAGCAGCTTGCACAATGCTCTCCCCATGGGCTTCCACAAGCTGCTGAAGGTGTATTCAAGCCATGAGGACAACACTTCTTTTGTAAGCTCTTGGTTCCAGAATATGATGCATGCACCCCTGACACGTGCTCTTGCCCTCGCTGAAGCAGGGTCTTTTAAGCCTTTGTGGATTGAGTCCTGGGTATTTATGTTTCTATCTTTAGTTACAAAACACACTGACACATTTTTAACTGTAAAGCCTTTAGCTAATCATTGATAGACTGGTGCCTATAAAAGAGTGTTGTAGTTATTCAGAGTCTACAACTTCCTCTTTTAAAGTTTAGTGCTTATATATTCCTTGGCTGTTTAAACAGTATTTTCATCCTGTAGAGAGCAGATTTCTTACCTTCTAAAAGAGGAACATGTCCTAGCAGTCATTCAGTTACCATTTCACAAGCTGCCCCTCAGAAAGTTAAACTTGAAGGCAAACTTAGATATTTGCTGGAAAGAGAAAAAAGAGTCTTGTTGTTCCTGTTGCCCTACCACTTGGGATTTTAAATAGGGCATTTGTACTTCCTGCATAAACTGATACACCTGGGCTCTTCTGCTCCCCAACTGTGGCTACATAGCTGAAGCTGGTATTTTGTGCCTGGGGAAAGACAATATTAAATGCAGATCAGTGCTTTTATATGAATATCTACCCACCAGATAGAGATTTCAGCTCATACATTAAATGGTTTATAACCTGAATCCTCGAGTGTACTCTGAGTGTGTGACCAAGGGAAGCATGCTGCTAAACTAATCCTACAAAATCCCACCGGTAGCCAGGGCTATATATTACTTTCTGAGAAGCCTAATGTCAGGAAGTAGGGCAAAGGAATAGACTAATGGAGCTGAATGTTATGAAATTAAACAATAAACCCTGCATCCACGGAGTCCAGAAGTTTCTCCACCGTTTGTCTCACTGACCAGAAGACCAGTCAGCCTCCTGCAGCTGCAGCTGGCCAGGAGAGGCAGGACTTGAACTGAAGAATCCTCAGTATGGCTCCTGCAGGATTGTCTCCTGATGGGTGCAGTAACTGCCATCAAAAGTAGTGCACGGTCTGCATCTCCTGTCTGTACAAATATCGGTCAGCCCAGCAGTGAGACCCAGTCAGGATAGCCTGGTGTTGGTCTTTCCTACAGCAGGCAATGCACTGGCTCTCCACAGCAAAGTACCAGGGCAGAACACCTTATTTTGCCATGTGGAGGGTGAGGTGCTCCAGGGACAGGCTTTTCAGTGAGATCATTTCAGCTGCACACCTTATGGGGGAGCTGGCCTACAGAGGAGGGCCAGCGGGGATGAGAAAGACACCGAAAAAGTCCTGTCTCTGCCATCTCATGCATTATTCAAAGACTGAATATTGTGGCAATATTTTGATGTACTTCTGCCAACATCACACAACGCTGAAAAGGTATTTCCACCCACGTCTTGAGTAGTACTACTATGATGTTTCCAGACTCTCTCAGGCTGGTGTTAATATAGGCATTGAAAGGAGGGTGTCTCTGTAGCTCTGGGTATTTTAGCCTGAGATAGGAGGATCCCAAAAGGAAGCAGAAAAATGAGACAATTTAGCAAAACTGACAGGAATTAATTAAGTGATTCTGTTCTCCTGTCCCTGTGTTTCCAGGTGAAAAGACTTCATTAAAGCAATATTGTCTGTTCTATGTCTATAGGGTGAGGAGGGCTCTGCCTGCCCAGACAAATTTATTTTATTTTGTTTTTTTCTTACATTTTGCCATCCAGGATCGTACATTTGGGCATTCACAGGTGAGAGAGAGAGGACTGGGTTTACATGCTGTTACAGACACATAGTTGTTACAGCAACTATGCCAGCAGTGCTCTAGGGGCAGCTGACAGCCAGGTGCCCTCAGAGTCACCTCAGCTTCACATAGATGAGCTCTACAGAGAAACTAACTAAGAACATCCATTAAATGAGGGGGTGCGTGGGGAAATCTGGTAAATGCATAAACCAGCAACTAACTTTTGAAGAAAAAATACAATGTAGATAAATTGCACCACAGCTGCCAGTACAGGCTTACTTTCGTGCTGCAGTTTCTTTGGTCTACATGTCAGACTGTCTAGATCATGAATTCTGCAACTGCAGTCGCCCCTGGGATTAACTGCTCTTGTCCACAGCATATGACAGTTTAAGGCATGAGGTGAGGATTACAGGAGTCAGCATGTGGGGACAGGCAGAATGTGATTACTTGAAACTACGCAAGCTGGAGACAGGAGCCAAAAAAACCTGGTATGAATTCTCCAGGCCTGCCATGTGGTGAACAAACTTGATTTGTTTGTTGGGGTTTTTTTGTTTTTTTTTTTTTTTTCTTTTACTGAAGTGCATTGTACTTGGGTTTTTTTTCCAATCAAAAGTCAAGTTTGAATTGTTTCTCAAGCATTCCCATTTCTGAGTGATTGATCGTTCAGAGATGAGCGATGTCAACTGAGAGCATTTATGCAGTGTGGTTGCAAGAGCAGGGTGAGAGGGATGTGTGGGTGACTGAAACGCTTCACTGGATGCTGCCACTTCTCTGCCTCTGAAGAAGAGCTGGGGGCTTCAGAGGTGGCTCAGAGGGGCTGGAGAGGAATGCAGAATGGCTGATGGCACAGCAACTGGTGCCTCCAACCGTCTGGAGGGCCATGATACCTTGGGCTGTCTACAAGGTTTGTACAGGCTGTTTGTGTGTGTGATGTCTATGAGAGAAAGCCTGCTACTGCTGTAATTAATTAATTTTTAAGAGATTAAGGACTGTAGTAAAGTGATTATTTCCAGTTCTGTCCCCATAGAAGATGTGTGCTGTGGTAGGGTTTTGACACACAGGCATTCAGAGTGTCTCTCTCTCTCTCTAGGTTCTCAAGCATCTGCGACACTTAAATTTCACCAATAACATGGGGGAGCAAGTGGATTTCGATGAGTTTGGGGACCTGGTAGGGAATTACTCAATAATCAATTGGCATCTCTCTCCGGAGGATGGCTCAGTCGTCTTTGAAGAGGTTGGACACTACAACGTTTATGCCAAGAAAGGGGAGAGGCTGTTCATCAATGAAAACAAGATCCTGTGGAGTGGATTCTCTAAGGAGGTAAGTACTTAAATCCTCACAGCAATGTTTCCCAAGCTTCAGCAATCTGAAATTTGAACGAACCCTGCACACTCCTCATATTATGGCTCCATGTCTCATCAAAAGATCCATTCATCTTACTGTATACATGGTCTCTGCTGTAGTCTTTCACACCCTCCTTACATGCTTCTGGAAATAACAGGCAGCTGCTTCTCCCCTCCTATACATTTGATGAGCCTGGGTAGTAATGGTTTAAATAATGCCCTTTTTTTTGGCCCAAGTAGATAGCTTGGAATTTTGCAAAGCTGTTGCCACAAGGATGAGAAATTCATTACCCAAGTCTGGTTGTTGATGAAGTCACATTTTTCTGAGCTCAGTAGTTTCATTGCTGAAAGCAGCCACCTCCTCCACTTCCATTATCTCTGTATCAAGAAGTGTCTCTTCCTGCTCCTAGTTAAATTCACAACTCTTTCTGCTGGCTTTACCCTCTGAGTCCCAGAGCTTTGCTCACACCCATGCCTTGCAAACCAAACAGAGCAAGTTCTGTCAATCTGCCTAGGTTAACTTGTACATGGTGCTTAAATAGTGGGAGATGCCAGTGCCTGCTACCTTTTTTTAATCTACCAGAAGGTGCTTGTACAGTCTCAAAAGTGTGTGATGTAGCCATTGACTTTAGTCAGGCCTAAGTCCTTCTCCACTTTCTTGCATACGTTAGATCTTTTCAGCATAACTGTATTATCACTAGCAGCCAGGGCTGTGTCTCCCTTGCGTGATGGGAACGTGATGCAGAGATCTCGGACAAAAACCAGGTGAACTGCTGTCATAGCTGGTAGCAGCCCACTCAAGCCTAGAGAGAAGCCTCAGCCCCCAGAGAGGACACTGAGCAGGCATCTGGCTTGTGGCCTGGGAGGTGACACAGGGAGTGTTAGCTCAGAAATGTCACTGCCAGACCCTGCTGCAATGTTTGGATGTGTTAAATCAGCACTTGATTACTGAACAAGGCAACTCACTTCCAGGTGACTATTCACATCGGCTGACAGATTAGGTAACTGCTTCTGCAGTAGCTACGCTTAGCTAATATATTTAAACCATCAGTTAAGCCTTACCTTTACTCCAGATATCACAGCTTCGCTTATGTTTTAAATCCAGAGCTCTCTGAAGGAGGCATGAGTCAGGCAGGACACATTACTGCAGAAATACTGAGCTCAGACTTTTCTAAGCCCAGCTGGAGTCTCTGAGCACAGACTATAAGTGGAATTAAAAAACCCCTGATACTCTAACCCCTTTTTCTGATCATTACAAATGCCACTGGCACCTTTTCCAACAGTTAGGATTTTATTGTTTTATACTTAAACAGAGCAACTGCGTTCTCTTGGTCTATATTCCTCCAACAGTGCAATATTTATCTTCATTCTCTGTCCTAAACTGCTAAGAATGCAGCTGGATGTTGCTGAGTGTCATGTCAGGGCATGTAAATTGTGTGCCAGTGGAGGGGGTTGTGATCTCTATGTCTGCTGCAGCCTTTTTTTCAGTTTATAGAGTTTGAATTTCTTCCAGATAAAGGGCCTCGCTCAAAGAGAGTAGCCAATACTTCACTCACTGAAGCCTTCTGTGCCTCTGTCATCCTCAAAAAAAAGATTAAATGTAGTTAATTTTAGCACAGGAACTTCAGCATTGGCCAGACTTGCAAAAGAACAACTTAAAGAGTAGGTAAGATAGATTCATTTTGGCAGAACTTGATGAAATTTCCCACAGAATACTTAAGAAGGCAACCAAAGCAAACCCAAAAGTACTCACAATTCACCTCTGAGAAATGTGGGGAATGGGTGATGTCTCAAAGGATTAGAGGAGGGTAATCATAGTACCTGTTTTTAAAAGCAGATACAGAAGAGCCAAGGGAATTACACACAATTGAGCTGAGCTTCAGTAACCTGAGAGACTTGATAAAAAAACCCATATTAAACAGTTTATAAACACTTAGAGGATAATAAACTGATAAGAAAAAGCCAACATGGATTTTTCAAGATGAAGTCATGCCAAACCAATGTAATTTTCCTCCTTGGAAGCTCAATCAGCTTAGTAGATAATGGAGAAGCAGTGCATGACTTCAGTCGGGCCTTTGATTCAGCCTGTTCAAAATCATCAGTGGCAGCCTAGGCAAAGAGTGCTTCGAGTGGGAAGCTGCAGTGATTTGCCCTGGATATGTGTCTGTCCAATTAATTATGCAATCCTGATTAACAGCTTAGAAACACTGTTCCCAAACCGTGCTGCAGCTGTACTTCAGAGCGATGGGCAGTGACAGCCGCTCCCGGCGGCAGGTGAATACCTGAGCCGCAAAACGGGCATCTCAGCGTAGGAGCTGCCACTGCCCAGGGGTGGCTTACCCTGGGGCTGAGGTCAATGCCTGCACGCAGGCAATTTCCAAGCCACACCCTGGACTCACTGCCTAAGTGCATCCACCAAGGAGATAACCTAGAGATCAGCAGGTTAGCTGCACTCGAGCAAACTAGCAGCAAACTTCCAAGCAGCTGAACGGAGGTTTCCAAACAGAGCAGCCCTTAAGTACGTACGGATCATGGTACTTTGCTGGCAGTGGAAACTGGGGGCTGAACTCCTCTGAGCTGAGAAATCCATGTTCTGTGTCAGCTTTCTTTCCTTGATTTAGTTGGGAAAAGGTGAGCTCAACCTCAGGTTGTGCTTCTGTGTAAAAAAAGGCCCGGGCTTCCACTCACCGTGCTGAACTCCTTGCTGTCGGTGCGCTTTAGGCATGTGGTGAGCATGCCCATGCAGCCACTTGCTGCCAGGGTATGGCCATGCCCAGGTGGGCTCACAGACAGCAAAAATGCATATCCAGCAGGTGACACAGCTGATCATTCACAGCAGTGGCAGTCTGGAAGCCTTTGGATCGGCATGTAGCTGCTGATTTGCATCTTCAGGTGCTCGGTGTTCTGAAAACAGGACCCTTCTTTCTTTCATATGAAAACTCCTCTTGTTTAGTTAATTTGCCTTTTTTGTTTCCGGGTTGGAGGTCTTCAAGAGAACAGGAGGAAGTGGGTTTCAAGAACCTGTTTTAAATCCCATAAATCATTAGCAGTCAATATGCAATATATGGGATCAGGGATCAGCAGTCAGAACCTATCATTTCCAAGGCTGACTCAAATTCCTGCCAGTAGAGATTTATTGTCGTTTCTTTTAACCATCTAATGACTGTTTTCTGGTTTGCAGTACCCACAGCGCAGTGGAGATCACAGAGATCTGCTCATCTTCTCTACCATCCCTTGATGTGTTCTTTCAAAACACGTCACTGCAGTGGGTTGGGAAAGGACTATTGTGCAAAACATGTCTGTTCTGTGGAGGAAGGAGGTCAGCCTCTGAAGATCTCCATCCAGCATGCTAACCAAGCAATAACACCCTTGGAGGAAGCCCCAGGTCCCGCTGTAGAAAGGCTGCATGTGGGGCACCGCCACCATTAACCCTTCTCGGGCTCTTTTCTTGCAGGTGCCTTTTTCTAACTGCAGCAGGGACTGCCTCCCAGGTACCAGGAAAGGAATTATTGAGGGAGAGCCCACCTGCTGCTTCGAGTGCGTGGACTGCCCCGACGGGGAGTACAGTGATGAAACAGGTAATACCCACGGAGCTGCTTTGGGGTTTGCAGAGCCTCTGGGCATCACCTGCAGTTGTGCTGAAATTGCCTCCCTGCCGCGCTGAGCTGGAGGCTGCGTTGACAGGGGGCTTCACAGAAAGTCTGGAGGGACTTCTGAAAAGCTTATGGGGTTGGATTTGAGTCCTGTGGTCTTCAGGCCCTGCCTTCTGCTAAGCCTGCTTGTTCCTTCTGCTCCGAGCTAGGAAAATTAAGGCAAAGAACTTGAAAAAGGACTTGGATATAGGAAGCCTCTTTCGCAGCCCCAGCGAACTCCACTGCACTGTAGCAATAGCTTTTGTTCCTCCAAAAGCCTGGGGGAAGGAGACACCCCCTACCCTAATCCTAAATCCTGTAGTTATCTGTCTGCTTTTCCTCATGTTGTCAGGGTTTTATTCATCATTCTAAAAGAAATAAAGTCCATTCCATTCCTGACTTCACAAGAAAAAAGGGATGTTTCCCTTTACTGGGTCACCAACCACAGCTTCTGTTGAGCACTGGCACTGCAAGAGACCAGAATCTCTGGGTCCTATCAAACACCCAGGGACATCTTCTTCATAGGTTTCAGTGGGAGCTTGTATCGAGCCACTCAGATTCTGCAGTGGAGGGAAAAGGTAACCTCAGTTTTAGAGTTGGTTGAAAAACGCTGAATTTCCAGCACCATTACTGCTCCCTCAGTGTTGGGCACGCCCAGGGTAAGGAAGGCAAGTCCCCTGCACACTGCAGAGTGCTCAGGACCTCCTGATGCTCTCTCCAGCAGCGCTCTTCCCAGCACACACTGCCAACTGACCTTGCCTGAGATGAAAGCTTCAGTTAAGCTGCACGCAAGACTGAACAATTGTTCTCCTTTGGGATAACCTAATTTGCATCCTATCAGACAGGAATGATAATTTTTTAGCATGAACGTACAGTACTACACATGCTTGGGAGTAGCATTTTCAACTTAAATAGAAGCAATTCTGGTCATGTGTAATAGGGCTTTTGGTGTTTTTCATAGGATTTTGTGAGCTGGCACTGGCGTGCTGGTGAAATTTGTGGGGTTGAGGGGGTGACTGCCTTCTGACTCCACAGTTTCCTGCTGCTATTTCAGATTACAGTAATGCTCTTTGTTTCCTGTGCTTGCAGGTTTTATAGATGTAGAGAGCAGTTTTACAACCAGTCTCATCCAGCTGAGACAGTGATAAGGAGACAATCTGTCATGTCCCCTCCCAGCTGTTTGCTCCCACCCTTTGTCTGGGAGCAATGCTGGTCCTTGTATGGCCGTACAGCAAGTTGGATCAGATCTCTGGTCCTCCTGAAAACAAACTCTTGGCAGGTTGTTTTCGGCCAGAACGAACAGCTGCATGACCTCTAGTGCTAACATAAAGCAGGGGACAGGAGTGAGCAGCCTTGTGGGAGGAGGGAGATCTGGTTTACTCCCTTCAGTGGTAGCACCACCTAAATCAGCTCAAGACAACAGTGAAAGCACATCTTTAGGATGCAGTGCTAAATAGCTGCCCCTGTCTCTTGTAGAGGTGGTTGAATTCCCTGGTATGTGAAGTTAGCTCTGCCTTGCCTGCAGTTTGCAGTAGACCTCCAGGTAAAAGGTACAAGAAAAATAAAGATGTTTGGCTGAATGGATGTAAATTAAATGACACGTGGTGATGGGAGCTTCTGACTGAGCTTTCTGCATCGAGTGCAAGTTTTTCGTATGAACAGCTTAGGTGAGGCAACCAGTCCTTAGGAAACCAGTATCATATCAGGTGATGGATGCTCCCTCCAACTACCCCTCCCAGAACAAGAGAGCTTGAAATCCTCTGCCCTCGTTAGCTGGGCATTCCTGGCTTTCTCATTAGCATCAAGCTCTGCTCTGGAAGCTGTGCTCTGAGTCTCTGCCCGTGCTTAGGTGCAAAGCTCAGAGGGAGGTTGCCGCTAAAGGGCTTCTCTGAATGTTTGTTCCCAGAACTCACTGCAGCCCATTACTACCCCGCTGGGATCCCGAAGGCTGAGGTAGGTTGCAACTTCCAACTCACTGCTCTCAACCCCTTTCCACTGCCATCAAGGGGAGTCATGACCCTCCCCACTGGAGCATGAGACCCATTTGGGTCAGAGAAGAAGAGCAGAAGCAGCAGGTCCTTGCCTTTTGATCATGGCAGCCATTGGAGACATGCTGCCATCCCAGTAGGCACAGCTAGCTTCGTGTAGAGGAAAGAGATGGAGGCATCAAATTTCCCTTTGCAAGTCTCAGTGGGACGCTTTGCTGGGTGTGGGACAAGTGCTGTCGTTAAGACACATCTTCCCCTGATGTTCCAGCATGAAATGGGAGTGTGCTGAGAGTCAAGGGCATTGCCTGCCTTCAGGGAAGAGCAATTTAAACACTTATAAGACTCATCTCCATCTCCGTGGAATATGAAATAGGCTCTCGAAGCATTTAAGGAGGCAAGCACGTTTTTAATTTTCTCTGTAATAGAGACAGGCAGGATGTTTCAAATGATGATAAAAGTGTGAGAGGTATGAAGACAGACAGAAATAGATAATAAAAATGAAGGAAGAAGAGAAAGGGACAGAGCCTGTGTAACAACTGATAGCAGTCAAAGAAGTTTTGCCAAGAAATGGATTCCAAAAACATGAGTGCAGGGGCAGGACTTCTTTTAAGCTGGAACTAAGCATGCTTTGTGTTTTGCTGTGTAGCCTGTGGGAGGCTGGTTGTTTCAGTGTAAAACACTCTGAGGCACCAACATATGATTCTGGGAACCCACAGGCACCTGAAGGGAACACCCAGTGTACTTAAGGTGAAGGCCAGTGTGTAGCTACCATATATGTCATCCCACATTTCAACCTCTCATTCTGACAAACCTTGCCTCTCCCTGTCACTTCTTTTTCAGATGCAAGTGCCTGTGACAAGTGCCCTGAGGATTACTGGTCCAATGAGAACCACACATCCTGCATCCCCAAGCAGATAGAGTTTCTGTCCTGGACTGAGCCCTTTGGGATTGCTCTGACTCTCTTTGCTGTGCTGGGAATTTTCCTGACTTCTTTTGTCCTGGGAGTCTTCACCAAATTTCGTAACACGCCCATCGTCAAGGCCACAAACCGGGAGTTGTCCTACCTCCTCCTCTTCTCCTTGCTCTGCTGCTTCTCCAGCTCATTGTTCTTCATTGGCGAGCCCCAGAATTGGACTTGCCGTCTGCGGCAGCCAGCTTTTGGCATCAGCTTTGTCCTCTGCATCTCCTGCATCCTGGTGAAAACCAACCGTGTCCTGCTTGTCTTTGAGGCAAAGATCCCCACAAGCCTCCACCGAAAGTGGTGGGGCCTCAACCTCCAGTTCCTCCTCGTCTTCTTGTGCACATTCGTGCAGATTGTCATCTGTGTGATTTGGCTCTACACAGCCCCGCCATCCAGTTACCGAAACCATGAACTGGAGGATGAGATTATCTTCATCACCTGCCATGAAGGCTCCCTGATGGCCCTCGGCTTCCTCATTGGCTATACCTGCCTCCTGGCAGCCATCTGCTTCTTCTTTGCCTTCAAGTCTCGAAAGCTGCCTGAGAATTTCAACGAGGCCAAGTTCATCACGTTCAGCATGCTGATATTCTTCATCGTGTGGATCTCCTTCATCCCTGCGTACGCCAGCACATACGGCAAGTTCGTCTCTGCCGTGGAGGTAATTGCGATACTGGCTGCCAGCTTCGGGCTCCTGGCCTGCATCTTCTTCAACAAAGTCTACATCATCCTCTTCAAGCCCTCCCGCAACACAATCGAGGAGGTACGCTGCAGCACAGCTGCCCACGCGTTCAAGGTGGCTGCCAGGGCCACGCTGAGACGGAGCAACGTGTCCCGCAAGCGCTCCAACAGCCTGGGGGGCTCCACCGGCTCCACCCCTTCCTCCTCCATCAGCAGCAAGAGCAACCATGAGGACCCTTTTCCTCTCCCAGCCTCTGCCGAGCGGCAGCGCCAGCAGCAGCGTGGGTGCAAGCAAAAAGTCAGCTTCGGGAGCGGCACGGTCACCCTGTCACTGAGCTTTGAGGAGCCGCAAAAGAACGCCGTGGCCAACAGGAACGCCAAGCACAGGAACTCCCTGGAGGCCCAGAACAGCGACGACAGCCTGATGCGGCACCGGGCCCTGCTTCCCCTGCAGAACAGCGAGCCCCTCAGCGCCGAGCCGGCTTTCCAGGCACCTTCCAGCCCAGAGACCAGCTCGCAGGAATCAGTTGTGGGAGACGCCAAAGAAGAGGTACCAAGCCCTGAGGCAGAGCCTTCCCTGCCATCAGCTAACTCCAGAAATTTTATAGGCGCTGGAGGTGGCTCTGTCACAGAGAACACGGTACGTTCCTAACGAAAGAAGATTGTGAAAAGCACACCAGCCCCCAAGAGGAACTTGCTCACCTCTTGCTTCTGAATGGGAAAACCACCAAAGACACACTCCTGTGACACAGCCCCAGCAGACCTTACTGTTAGTGCCGGCAGGGTGACACATGTGCCTCCAGAGGAAGGACTGTGTCTGGGGAGCCTTGGACTGAATTTGCATTTGCATTGCTGAGACCAGGGCATCTCAGAAGGACAAGTGAAGATCACTATTGGTGGGGCTTAAGCAGAAGTCTGCATGCTGCCTTGCCTCCATAAGCTTTTCCTGCCAGACTGCAACTCAGCTGACTATGGGAGGCACTGGGCAATTCCACTATCCTCTGCTTTTACATTTATGTATAATATTCCTCTTTCCCACTATGTATAATATGCCCTCTTTATCAAGTATATGTGATCTGTAACCATGTGCATCAGGACTCTCAGCTCTACAAAAGCAAGGTACACGGTTTCACTTGGGGAAAGCATGGTCGTGGGGAAAATAAAGAAGCCCCCAACATCCTGCATGCTGTGTACAGCCAAGGGTGTGAACATGTAAAGTATTTAATGTGACAGAGCACCCTGCTATTTATATTTAGTAATGTCCCAATCTCTCCTTTCTGCCCAGCAGGAAACACTGGACAGTACTCTTCATAGACTCCATTGCACTAGACCAAGCTACTAGGTTCCTACTGGTTTCCTCCAGCTGAGGTAGCTTTACCACCAGCCTGCCTGCTTTGGTGGAGGGGGAGAACAGCTTGTAAATTCCTTCCGGAGAACATTGCGAAAGCACGATGAGATGTATCCATGTTTGATTATGTTGCTGGTAGTTGTATGCTTAACAAAGTGTTGCTGCTGTAATATTCCACATGGCATACATGGCTAACCCTTTCACACCATACTCAAGTGTTGTGCTTTGCCATATTAATCTGCCTCACATGTACACAGAGCATTGCGCTAGTCAGGACAATACTGGTGGGCCTGATACAAAGCAAATGAGACAAGGTGAAACGGAGAAGTTAGGGATGGAGAAATAGCCCCCAGATGTGCTAGTATGATTGCAGGAGTGGGTGAATATCTGAAAGTGTGTGTGCTGCTAGACAACTGGATGAGGAATACACACAGGCCTTGGCTCTGAAACACGCACAAAGATAAATGGAAAAATTGGATATGTTTTGGCTCCTACAGGCCACCTACTAGGTTGTTTTCCTCTTGGCCCATCTTGAGGAGAAGGCGCCTAGCACTGTACGGGGTGGACTGTACCTAAAGAAAAACAGTAAGGACTTCAGCAGAGAACATAGCAGAACTTCATTACTCTTGACACTTGTCCCACTCCCCCAAAAGCAGACATAAGAGCTCCTGGTTTTGCAAGGCATGCCTGGTTCTTCTCCCTCCATGCTGGAAAGGTTGAAGTAAAAGAGTCATTACAAGAGGTATTTGTTGCAGCCTGATGAGAGAAAAAGAGCCCCTGGCCAGCCTGGCAGGAGGGGGTGGGGTTATGTTGCAGAATTTATTTCCCTCATCCCAGATCCCACATGCAAGAACAAGCTTCTGATGTGAAGATGTCAGTACCCTCCCTCGTCAAACATGAAGGCAGTCTAGACCACTGTGGGAAGGTCGACAGGCCTGCAGCTTAGTGTGCACAGAGGCGACGGGAGTATGTGAATGCGTTGGGGAAAATACCATAATTCTCTTGTTACTGCTTTTGCTTGGTTGTTCTTTTGCCAGGGCAGGCAAATAAAACTTACAGGTGACATTACTGCATAAGAACTTTGCTTTGCCACCTCCGCTTGTTGCTGATGAGGAAGAGAACTTTTGGCTTAGGAGAGCAAAGTGGAAGTCCAGAACCTCAAGGAGCACGCTATTCAGACAAGTTATTTTAATGCTTTTGTTGGTCTGTCACGTTCACCTCAGAGTGGGCTCAAATTTTAATTACATGATGTAAGAACCAATCCAGCTTTAACTGTCAGGCTTGCAAATTACAATATTTGATTAAAGCTATGGCACAGCTGGTTAAAAGGAAAAGAGTTTGAAAACACAAATCCTTGTGGTCACAATTTTGGAAACCACATTCTACCCCTAGACCCAGTGGGAGTTGCTCAATGCTTCTGAAAAATCAGGTCCCTTCCCCAGGCTGCTGACTGTGGCCTCTATGCTTAGTTTAGGGTACAGAATTGAGACCCATGGTCTCCTGTCTGTATGCATGAACAGAGATGGGCACTAGATGGCAGAAAGGGCTAAAAGAAGTACTTTGGCTATGGCCCAGACTTCCAAAAATTTGAGTAGCAAATTTGAGTAGCTTTAGTGCTAGTGAATCGTTCCTGTGAGCCAAACCCATTACAGTAGTCCCTGAAGCGAAGCTGTCAGCACTGAAGAACACAGAAGAGCTTAATGAACAAAATGGAAACAACACAAGATACAAACCGAAGACTTCATGAACACACACAACACGAGAAACAGAAAGTCACCATCAGCTGCCTTGTCTGCAGAACAATATTAACTGGCTATGCGCACAGTAGATAACGTTGCCATTTGGGTGGTTTTCATTCTTTGGGTGGTTTTCATTCTTTAGGTGTTTTTCATTCTTTACATCTACTTAAGAGGATGGCATACAATGAGGACACAATGGCACCCTGGCACACAATGAGGCTTCAACAGCTGCCATAATTTTATAGCAACAGGCCAACAATTCTCAGTTTGCTGGGGAACCCCCATCCACCCTCGCTGCGCACGCACCTGAAGCTCTAAGCCTCAAGCTCCGTGTGCTGTGTGAGAGCCACAGTTACAGCCTATTGTAGTGATGCACAAGCTAGATGCAAAAGAAGTTCAGTAAAAAAGGACCCCCTTCGTCAAGGTGATTTGCAACCAAACCATTCTTCCCATGCACAGAGGAGGGTATAGGTATATGTTCTTATCCTGCCAAGTCCAGAAGAGGAGATTTGCTGACACCTGTCCAAAAGCCTGTCTGTGTCATATAAGACAACACTGATGAAGACAAGTTGAGTAATATCCTTCTGTTGAAAGCTCAAGCCTGGGAACCTGCACTGGCATGTCCCACCAGAAGTTGCCCACGTGAATGGCTGCCCCATCCCAATCCTCGTGACTCAAAAACCTACTGGAAAGCATGTGCCAATGCGGCATTTCCCGAACCATCTGGTCACAAAGCAACAACAGAGTACGTCAGCTCAGTGGTGGGAATTCCACTGGCAAACTTGGCTGGTGGGCAGGGAACCATCCCAGCAAAGAGCTTGTACCTTCATCTGCACTCTGCTCACAAACCAGGCTGAGATCTGCCTGCCCAAACCCCAGCAGATCATTTATTTGCTCTCAACAGAGGAGAGAGAGGATACCAGGGGAAAGAGATCTTTCATCCCCATTCTGTTTCATGCTTCTCACCATGTCCTCCAGTGCAGGAGGTCCATCCACTGTGCAACATCTGCTGCTGTTAAATTTAGGGTTATATTTACCAAATTTACGAAGGGATGCTGGGAAGTAGCGGGGAGGAAGGTAGGTTTTTGGTGGCGGTGGTTTTCCAAGGAATATGGATATTTAAACAGAGGGGAAATTTGGCTAAAGACCTGAACATTGAGACAGAAGTCTCATCAGGGGGTTTCTTAAAGGCTGGATGATTAAGCACAGGCATCAATTTGCTGGCTGAGGAACAGCAAAATCAGCCCGGGAGAGGGAACAATTAACGTGTTGAACAAGGTAGTCCTGGAGATGGAACTTTCCACGCTGCCTTAGCGAACATGTCACAGTAGGTGATGGCTGCTGGAAAACGTGACATACTGGAAAAGAAAAAAGCTGCAGTTCGGGACAGCCCCGTCCTCCCATGGGACTGTCACAGAGGTGTCACCCCCAGCTTTGATTACAACTCTTGCTTTTAGGTTTTCTTTGCAAACGACGGGACGGGAAGCTTTCCTCCAAGCCCGGAGAGAGCCGGCGCGGAAGCAGAACCTCCCGGGCCCAGCCGCGGCCCTGAGGCGATGGCTGCCCCGCGGGGGTGACGGGCCCGGGCGCTCCCGCCCGCCGCCCCACAGCGAGGAAAACGCAAACGCAGGTCGGAGGCCCCGGGCCGGGCCCAGCGCCGCCCTTGGCCCCGCCCCGCCGGCAGGCCCGGCCCCGCCTCCTGAGCGGGACGGACCGGGCTGGAACGGCGCGGCGGGGCGGGGCAGGGAGGGGACGAAGGGAAGGGGAAGGGAAAGGGGAAGAGAAAGGAAGGGGAAGGGGAAGAGAAAGGGGAAGGAGAAGGGGAAGAGAAAGGGGAAGGGGAAGGGAAAGAGAAAGGGGAAGGGGAAGGGGAAGAGAAAGGGGAAGGGGAAGGGGAAGGGGAAGGGGAAGGGGAAGGGGAAGGGAGCGGCCGCCGCCATGTTGTGTGGAGGCACCTCGGCGGCTCGGCCCGCCACCGCCGAGACGCAGCAGATCGCGGATGAGGTGAGGGAGCCGCGCCGCGCCGCGCCCCGAGAGGCCCCCCCGTGCCCGGGCAGGGCCTGGCAGCGGGGCTCCGCGGGGGCTTCGCCTGCCGGGCCTGGGCCTGCCGGGCCTGCCGGCCTGGGCGGGCGGCCGCCGGCTCCCCGTGCGCGGGGAGGACGCGTCCCCAGGCGGTAGGTTTGAATGCACCGCTCGGGCCCCGGCCCCGGTGCCCGCGGTGGCTGGGGACCCGGTGCCTTTGGCCGTCGCTCTACACAGCGGAACGCGGAGACGCCTTTCCCGCCCCGCCTCGGTGTAACAGCAGGAATTCTGACAAACTGGAAATGTAGTGAGCAGTCACTGGCTGGCTGGAGCCCTGCTTGGCCTTGCGTAGTTTTATTGACTCCAGGCTGAGCAGGCCCAACAATTTAAGAGGACGTTCTGGAGGGATTTCGAGAGGAACCGCAGGCAGCGATGCGTGCTCGGGGAGGGCTGGGTGCTGCCAGCTCCGGTCCTGGCTGTGCAGGTGATGGGCAGTGTGCCGGCCTCAGCGCAGAGCCACAGGGCAAACCATCTACATCCCAGCTCTAGAAGGTCCCTGGAGCTTGAGGAGGGAGCTCAGTGGTTCTTGCAAAGTCTAAACCTTGTAGCCATGTTGTGGCTGGGTGGGGTTTGGGGGTTTTTTGGGGCGGGGTGGGGGGAGTAAGCAAGAAAACTTCTTTGCTGCTTCTGCTCTTCCTGCATACAGAATTCAACTCTAAGCACTGCCAGCTCTGAAACCTGATACTACTTACAGTAACTGAAGTTACTGCCCATGTTAATGGAGTACACGCTTTTGATCTAAAAATGCCAATGTACCACTAAGTTATTTCGAACACCTGCTCTTGTTTTAGTCGGGGGAGCTCAAGTTCCTTCTGCTTTTTGGTTTTATCAGCTGGGGTGTGTCAAGTCAGTGAAGAAAGATGAAGGACGAGCTCCAGTTTCTTACGCTCTTTGTCACTGCCTGGATTTGTTCCTCAGGCTGCAGCAGTTTCTAAACACATACAGAGCACCCAAAGGCATAGCAGTCATTGAAATTAACGTTTAGCTCAGAGAAGCTGATGATTCTGCATTTAAAAAAAAAGAGATAGATGTGCATCTCGTAAGCGCCAACCTGAGTTTGCAGTAATGAGTACATTATTGAGCAATGCTGAGAGAGTCACAATTATTGTTATGACCTGAAAAGGCCTACATGTCATGTTAAAGATAATGCAGATATGCAGTTAATGTTGCACATGAACTGAAACCCAGGTTTGAAATCCTGACTTTGTATTCTGTGGCAGACTGCAGCAGTTTGGTAATCCAAAAATAAAATGAAGAGTATAAAAATGAAACCCGGTTGGATTCAGAAGTGAACAGAATTAAACAAAAATCTGGCATTTTCTTTTAAGTCCTGTAAATATTCCAAAGTTTGTCCAGCTTGTTTTGACTGGCAGTTTAAATTACTTTAATGAAATACAAGTGGGAGAACCCAAAACTGAAGTTTGTCCATGCAGTCATATCCTCATCAGGATACAGACTGTGAAGGAAACATTGTTTTGTTACATCAAGGTAGACTTCTCAAATTGTTTTGTTTGCTTAAAATAAAATCTTTTTGCAGATCTGTTAGAGCCTGCCAGTTCACTTGCCATAAATACATTTCCTGTTCCTGCTTTTCCAGTTCTTGCTTCCATGGTATTGTTTTGTAAGAATTGTGGCGATGGCCAAAAATTGTTCAGATTTGTGGCCCTGGCAACTGCTGCTACTCGCCCAGAGCAGGTACTGTGTGAGACAGAGCAGAACAGTTTCCTTCTGACAGTGTCTGGCTTAGGAGTCCCATAGGAACTGCCTCTCCACGGCAAGGATTTCCACCCAGGCCTGTTCAGCCTTTGGCTTCTGACTGGCAGCCATGGCAGAGGTTAGTAAGGGGGATTTTTGATTTTAGTAACTGCTCTGGGAGTGAGCAAACAGGCCGGGCAGAACAGTGAGGAGCCTTCAGGGCATGATAGTTTTCAGCCCTGTGGCTGAATCACAGATTGATTGGGTGGGAAGGGACTGCACCTCCTGCCCAGCACAGGGTCAGCAGCCCCAGGCTGCATGGGGCTTTGTCCACTTAGGTCTTGAAAACCTCTGAGGGTGGAAACTGCACATCTTCTCTGGGCAACCTGCTGTACTGCAGGAGTGTCCTCAGGGGAAAAGTTTTTCCCTGTATCCAGTCTGAACCTCCAGTTTCAGTTTATGACTGTTGTGTCTCATTCTGCCATCACCTCTCAGTAAAGAGTCTGACTTTTTTTAGGTACTGGAAAGCTTTCCTCAAAGACTTCTCTTCTCCAGGCTTGCTCATTTTCTTCCTTTCCTCACAGCATGAGTGCTCCAGCCATCCAACCTCATGGTGCCCCTCCGCTGAGCTCACTACGGTTTATTGACATCTTTTTTTTTGTATTGGGAGCCTAAAACTGGACACAGTGTTCCAAACGTTCTCTAACAAGTGCCAAGTAAAGGGCAGTAATTGCTTGCCTCTCTTCTGGCTAGGCTCCTGCTGATGCAGCCCAGTATGTGGTTACCTTTGTCACCACCAGGACACAGTGCTGGCTCATGTTTAGCGCACTGTCCACCAGGACCCCCAGATCTCGACTGAAATCATGAACTAGCAGGCTGGGCTCAATACCAGCTCTTTCAGAGAGTATTCATCTGGGCTCTCCCGCCCCATGCTGAATCAGGATGACTATTTGTGGTGAGTCCTTGCCTGACACGGGGCACATGACCCCATGGGGCTGAGCTGTCAGCAGTTCTGGAGCCCAGAGTCCAGCTTTTTGGCAGAAATATAAAATATGCTGAGCCGGGGTGATTTTGAGACCTAAGAAACAGCGCCTAGAATTGCTAAGGGAGCACAGAACAGGATAGGGTCGGTGGGATACTTATGTCTGTCCTCTCCCCAGCTTCTTAAAATTTGTAATAGTAGCTCTAGTGATGGAAACTGAAACCACTTGCTCCATCCTCTCATTCAGGAGAAGGGGAGAGGACTGAATCACTGCACTTTCTGCGGCTGTGCCCTTCCTTGCACGACTTCCCTTAGAATGCAGAGTCATTGGGTGCACTTTGATCCTCATATGGCAAAAAACCATACGTACAAAAGCACCCAAACATCATTAGCTTACTTTTGATGTATTGTTCAGAGCCTGGAAGAAGCCAAGAGGTGTGACCTCTGAGAGGAGATGTACAGTATGGTCCTGGCCCCCAGGGATGGGCTAGTCACTGATGAGCTGTCTTGGGAAGGCAGTGGAGTCTGGTCCTGTGCCTCCTTGGTGCTGGAGAGGTGGGAGAGCATGCAGGAATTGTTTCTGTTCCTACTTTACCTAGAGTACCTGAGCAGTGGCAAACCAGCACCTGTTTTCCCCCAAGGAAGCAGGTGGGATTCAGACAGGAGAGAAAATGTATTTATTCCCCTTGAATTGAGGAAGAAGGGGAAGTACACCATAGAGCTGGAAAGAGAAAATCTCACTGGTGGTACTGTTGCACTGGGAGCAGAGGGAGGGCTACATAATGATGCAGTGCAGGAGGTGGGGCCTGGGTAGAGCTGTGCTTGCAGCAAGGACTCCAAGACTAATTCATTTTGTCCTTGTAAACAAAGCCTAAAATCTTCTGTTTTCCTGACCAGGAATTTTACCGTATAGCTGTGATGTTCTAGAGGGACAAGTGTGGGAAAGGAGAGCTGCAACTCATGTGAGTTCATGCCTCCCTCTGGGGTATTGGGTGAGTTACTCTGACTTCCTGAGCACTGGTTTTACACTCTGGAAACCGGGGTGATATCTCAGAATGCTTTATGGTTCAGTTACTTTTTGGAAAATATATGCAGTTTGAAAACTTTAGAGATTCCAGGAGATGTGCTGGAAGAACTGTCAGATAAGTGTTGTAAAACCTTAGGCTTGGGTAGTTTGCTTTCAGAGCTTGATTTTTGGATGTCTGTCTGTTCTGTGATGCTGGGTCTGTAATAACTTGTTCTGAATTTGAAAAGGGAACTAACGCTGAAGACTAACGCTTTTCATGTTGTAAGACGGATGTGTATTAAAAACTTCTCTTTAAAAAGACCTGTAGTCTTGTGCGTGTAGATTCTGAACCACTTCACATTTGTCGTTAGATATACAGGACAGAAAGGGAAGCTGAGACATCAACAGAGGAAATAATCTGTAACAATAAATCTTTTGGCGTACCCACGCAGTTCCCTTGTTCAAGGCTCCAGGCTTAGTGTCAGTCTACGACACCAAGTCAGTCAGCGGCAACTGAATCACACCGTTGTCTCGGCTTTGCTGCCTATCTAGATTCTGGTTTTGCTTTAACACAAAACATTATTCATTTTAATCTTTTAATAACTTAGAAAAGCAGGAACACTCGTGTCTGGGAGTTCAGCAGCAGTGACAAGGAGGGTACTGAGTCATACTGGCAGTGTGGGCCTTAGGTCCCAAATACTTGAATCTTGCATCAGTCTTAAATAACCTATTGTTTCCTTAAGGTGAAACCTCATCTAGAAGAAAAAGAAGGGAAAACGTTTGATGTCTTCACTGCAGTGGAATTTAAAACTCAGGTGGTTGCTGGAACAAACTACTTCATCAAGGTAGAGGACATTGGGCAATGGGATGATTTTTTTGTTTGTTTTTTAAATGTGTATTTGGAATGGTAGGGTTTTTTCCTTTACTTACCTACAGAGGGATGTTTATGATTTGGCCTTAATAAGAAAAAAATCTGTACATTAAAAAAAATACATATCCACCCCCCCACCTCCCAGACTGTCTCCTTGCCTGTATTAAATGGAAAAAAGAGTACTGCTCTATTTTCATAATGATTTTTAATTTTCAGTTATTTTGTGAAACTTGGTTTTGGGGATAATTACACATCTGTGCTGTTGAGCACTAACACTGCATTAAGTGAAGTCCCAATGTGTAAAGATACAGTGAAGTATCAAACCTGCTCTGACTCTGCCTGTAGTGATGTCACACACAAAACCCAAGCAACTGTAATCAAAGCATTTAAGTGCTTGTGCCAGATAAGATGATTAGAGCATTTTGCATGTATTTAATATATTAATCACTTCTGTGCAACTCCAGTTCCCTACCCCTACATTCCCTGTCTCAGGCATGGGGAGGATTAACAAGCATAGAAGGCTTAGGTGGTATTTCCACCGAGTCCTGACTCCCAGTCTGGTTTAAAACAAGACCACGCCTTCTGAGATGATGTTTTTTTCTTACTGCCTCTCTGCTTCTCCACCCTCAAACCACACCAATCTACACCATCCCTCCTGCTGAAGGCTGCGGTTACTCCATGGAACTCACCGGTTTTCGTCCTTTGCAGGTCCATGTTGGCAATGAGGAGTTTGTGCACCTGCGGGTGTTCAGAAGCCTTCCTCACGAGAATAAGCCGCTGAGTCTCCACAGCTACCAGAGCAGCAAGACTAAGCATGATGAACTGGCTTTTTTCTAGCAAGCTTATCTTACGCATCTTCCTAATGGTTTCTTACGTGCATTTTCTATAGGCCGCAAACTGTTGATTCCTGTGCCAACAAAGGACAAAAGAAGGTGTATTTTTTTTTGTCGCTTAATGCTGGAAAAAAATCAGTGTCTTTTATGCCACTCCCTTACTTTGCAATATCTCAATTTTAGAGTCGCACAGCTCTCCTTTCACCTACACTAATGCAAACCCAAGTAGCTGCACTGACTTCTGTGCAACTTAACAGGAATACTGTGGCTGAGTCCTGTTTGTGGACTTCCTTGGTCTGGAAATTGAAAGGGGAGTGACAGTAGCACTCACGTTTGCAGCAAGCAGCAAGAGGAAAAGCCTGAATCTCTTCTGTGCTGTTTTGCAACTGTGAACGTATCTGTAGATTTAAATTGTGCTATGTATTTTATTGGCAAGGACCTGAACAGAGACTTGAGGTAAAGCGATTTTGAAAGCAAGAGAAAGGAGGAGGATTATAGTCTTTGGAAACAAGCATTCCCTTGGAAATCATGTTTACTGTCTTGCAGCAGCAGGACATAATGTCCAGTAGAGGGTGTATGAGTTAAAAAAAAAAAAACAAAACACTTGCTTATTTTCTCAGTCTGAAGGAAAAGTCCTGGAAAGGAACTTAAGCTGGACAAGCCTTTGTGTATTAATAACAATAAATATTTCTCTGAACTGAGATGTCATATTTGACTGCTGTTTCACTGTTCTCTTTACTGGTTTTCAGTATTGATTATTATCGTGCTCAGATTTTTTTCCATGAGTGTTTTTCATATTCCAGATAAACTTGGGTTTATTCTGTGTTTTAATTTAATCTTGTGAGAGACATGAAAGCTGACAAAGGCTTCTGCAGGTATATCAGCAGCAAAAGGAACACTAAGGAAAATGTGGGCCACCTGTGCTCAGTGGAGCAAGCAATGCTGGCTTTGTCTTGGCCTTTACTGGTAGGACTTGCCTTCAGGAATTTGAGGTCCCTAAAATGAGTGGGAAGGTCTGGAGAAAGGAAGTTTTCCCTCAGCAGAGCTGGGTCAGGTTAGGGAAACAGTTAAACAAATTGGACTTAGACAATGCCATGGCGTGAGGGGCTGCACCCCTGGATGCTGAGGGAGCTGGCCCGTGTCACTGCAAGGCCACATGCAGTACCCTCTGAAAGGGCATTGGGGGAGGTTCCTGAGGACTGGAAGAAAGAAAAGGCCACTCCCATGCTCAGGAAGGGCAAGAAGGAGAATCTGGAACACTGCGGGCTCGTCAGCCTCACCTCAGTCCCTGGAAAGGTGGTGGGGCAAATAATCCTGGAAGCTACTTCCAAACACACTGAGGACCAGAAGGTGAGTGGAAGGTGTCAGCGTGGATTTACAAAGGGGAAGTCATGCTTAATCGGCCACCTGATGGCCTGCTATAAGATAAATGTCTTGGCAGAGAAGACTGGTGTTACCCATCTTGAGTTTAGTAAGGCTTTTGATACTGTCTCCCATAACATCCTCACGGACAAACTGATTAAGCACATGGTAGGGAAGTGGACTGCAAACTAGCTGAACTGCTGCACTCAAAAAGTTCAGCAGCTCGCTGTCCGGGTAGAGGTCAGGCCCTAATGGTGCATCCTTGGGGTCAAGACTGGGACCAATACTGAGCAACATCTTCATCACTGACCTGGCTGGAGGGCCCACGCGCACCCGCAGTGGCTTTGGTTATGACACAAAGTTGAGAGGAGTGGCAGCGATACAGCGGAGAGCTGTGCTGCTGCAGGGAGGGATGGCAGCAGGCTGGAGAAAGGAGCAGAGGGCCACCTCACAACTATCTGCAAAGGGAGGTGCCCAGCCCCACACCTGGGAAGGAATAACGGGTGCAGGCTGGGGCCTGGGTGGCGGAGAGCGGCTCTGCAAGCAGGACCTGGGAGTTGTCCTGTTTGCCACCTTCCCACAAAGGTGGCCAGCACTAGCCACGGGCTATGTTAGGAACAGCACTGCCAGCAGATGGAGAGGCTGTTCTTTTCCCACTTGTCAGCACTGATGAGGCCACAGCTGGAGCGCTGTCCCCGTTCTGGGCTCCCCAGCACACGGCAGACACGGATGTACCAGAGCAAGTCCAGTAAAGGGCCGCCAAGACATGGCCTTGGTGCAGCTGAGCACCTGAAGGAAGCTGGGCTTGTTCAGCATTGGGAGGCAAGGTGGAGAGGCAGTCAAGAGCCAGGCTCAGTGCAGTGAAAGGGCAAGAGGCAACAGCCACAAACAAATATGTAAATTCCATGTAAACAGCGAAGGAGGAGAAAAAACACAATACAAAACCAAAACCAAAAAAAAAAAAACCCCAAAACAAAACAAAACCATACACCAAATCACTTTTTTTTTTCTCCTCTAACAATTGCAGGGGTGGTCAAACAGGGGCCCAGGTTGCCTGGATAGGTTGTGGCATCTCCATCAAGGGAAAGTGCCAGAATTCTGACTGCACGTGGTCCTTTTAGCCTCTGAACTGAGGGGAAACAGCCCACTCCTAGATGACACTGCTGCCTGTTCTTGGCCACAGACTGAAGAAAGGACAAGCAGCTTTGAGGCAAGGACACAATGACCTTACTTGCACGTTACTGGGCTTTCTGTTGCAGGCATGCAACCAGCAGTGCTTAGAAAGAGCATTTTCTGCCTCCTGATTATTAGGAGGGGCTTACAGGCTTTAGCTTCTATCAGCCCAGAGAGTCCCCACTCCTCCCTCCGATATGGAACAGAGAGAGTGAGTCTGGCTTACCCTGACACTTCTTCTTTTGCTAACACGAAGTGGGTTTGGAGACACAGGGTGTTTTTTGGTGCTGGCAACGCCTCGCACTGAAGTGTTTTCACAGTTCAAAAGCTGAGCCTTGCCTCCAAATGCTACTCTGCAAGAGGAAGGTTGTGGAGATAATGCAAGACTTGCTGCATCTTAAAAGATGTGTAACATTAGACTGAACATGGAGCTGAAATGGATGCGCACTGTCTTACAGCTGTAGTACCTCAGGTGGCAGAAACAGCTTTGAATAGTATTTCAGAGCCTACTCAAGTTTTATCTAGGCAACAACAAGCAGAAGATTAACAAATAGCTTTCAAAACTTCTTTTATTTTCATGCATTTTCTGACACAGACAGAGTCCGCATGCGACTTGCAAAAGTGAGGCACCATTCCTCATTGTCTCTCAGAAGTAGGTGAGAGGATCATCCCTGGTTTTGCCCGTCTGAAAACTGACAAGGCTGGGACCTTGGTTCTCATGAGGAAGGCTCTGGAACACCCTTAAGTGGACATAGTCAGCATCGGAAGTTTGGACCTAGAAACCAAAACAGCAGGAAGCGAGGATTATCAGTTCAAAGCAGGTTCAAACAAACGGATGCTCTTTACATACTTGGAAGAATATCTTTCCTCAGGAGCTTAATTTTAGGTGTATCTCCATTTTTACTTCAACAGCTCTTACCCCAAGTCTGGATAGTAACTGGTAACAGAAGCTGTCTACACCTGCAGAAAACTCTAATAAAAACATTCCAACTCATGTGAATGGAAAATGAGTAGGACTGCTTGGGTGTGGAAGCACCAGAAGGCACAAGAGGAGAGAGGTTTTGATAGCATCCTATTTCAGTCATCAAGATCCCAGCACATCAGCTCACAGCTTCTGGGGACACTCAGGGTAGAAGACAAAAGACAATGAGTCTTAACGACTCGGGTTTGGGGCAAGATGCAGAGACAGTGTCAGCTCCTAGAAGGTACAGCAAGATCTATCCAAAACCTGTGGTCCGTGGTCCTAAGAAGCAATGGCAACCTGAAAGCCAGGATCCCTTATCTTCAGAATTACTGCAAACACATCAGTGCCTGAACAGAGACAACCTGACACATCCCGGAGCTCGTGGGAGTGAGTATCAGTGCCTGAAATAAGTACTTTTTAAAATGAACTCACCTTTCCCTCCAGAAAGTTCTCACATAAAGACTTGCTATAAAGTTGTGTAATTTCTTACGTACAGAGCCAAGCACTGCAGGTGCTAACCTCTTACTGCATGAGGTATACAGTATTAATGGAAAGTTTAATGCCTTAAGCTCTACGAGGTTTTTACATGCTTTCTGGTGGCTGCAACACGGCACTATGTTTGTCTCAGTCTGGATTACATCTCAGCTGTAAGTCTGTTGGTAAAACAGTGATGTGGAAAATTCAGACATACAAAAGAATGAATCTTGTGACAGAGCTCATTCCAGTTAATGCTAAAATGAGTAACTGTTTCCTGACACTTGCAAGACTGGGAAAGGAGAGGCAAATAATCCATTTTCAGTGTTATAAATGGATTTATTCCAAGTTCAGTAACATGTCAGTCTTAATTTCTGAGCAGTTTGGTCATGAGGCTTAGCAGGGACAGCAGACAAGTATTGTACATTTCCTGGGTCAGAAATAAGATGGCATTACGGCAAGAAATGCAACTGAGCATGACTTTTGGCTTTATTGCAGCCTTCTGGTAAATTGTTACTCTTCATTACCGAGTACACTGTCCACAAAGTGAAAGCACATATCAGAGGAGCAAGGGAAGGATAAACATCATTCGTATAAGACTCAGACTAGACATATAATAGGTAGCCTGCCAGTCCAATCCCCTGGTGCCCACAGAGCAGAAATAACTGTTAAAGTTATTTTAAGGAAGAACCTGGAAAAGAAGAAAGTTTGGCAGTGTCTGTCCTTCCTGGAACCAACTAGGAGAAGCATGGCACCAATGCTCATATGTGTGTCTGCAGAATTACTATCCCCCAAACCCTACCTGCCAATTCCTTTAATAAAATTATTCTGACCCTTGTCAAGGGAGCGTATCTGACTAGGCCTATGTCTGCATACACGTGGGGTTAAGATACAGCAGTCTCATGCAATGTTTGCTCTACTTATGCTACGTCACAGAAAGTTGCTCAAATTCAGGGGTAAGGTTTTCTAATAAATGATGAATGGTGCTATCAGAGGGCTCCAAATTAAGCATTACCATCTTCTCCCACGACAGAAGGGGAGTTTTAAAAATACAGAAAGAACTAGCAGGCAGGCTGTTCTTCTGCAGCATGTGGCAAGGAACCAAAGCACCAACATACATGCTTGCATGCAAAACTAGCCATCAGTGTGAGATGCTTGCTTTCAATATTTTTAGATGTAAATGAAATTCACTCTAGCTCTCCATCAGATCCTCAGGCTGACTTCAAATTCATCATAATAAACACAACTGGAGGACACAGAGGCAATAGGAAAGCTACTTTGCCTTGAAAGGAAACAGGAGAGCAAATTTATGACTAGTTTAAATAATTTCAGCTGACAAGGCAATCTATAGTCTTCAAGTGAGATGATCCTAAGAAAGTTACCATTCACATCCAAAGAAGCACAGAGCATGTTTTGTAAGTTTTTATATTTCTGTCCTACAGTAGTGCCAAACAGAGGAATTTTACAAGCATCTGGAGAGAGTCCCTAATTCTCTTAGTCACACCAGATGGTCTTCTACTACATTTGCTTCTCTTTTTTGCTATAAGCCTCTAAGCAAATCGCCTATATTGTTTAAATACAGAGCACTTCCTCCTATAATATATACAAACCTTAATAAAGTAGTTTATCCCAGCAACCACCTGAGTCCTATATACTATGGCTTGAAAGATGTCATATGTCCTGTTTTCCCTGCTTTCAAATTGCGGCTTCACCTGTAAAAAGAAAGGG